GATATGATCTTCAATTTACTCTTAAAACTCATGAGTATGAAACTAAAGACTATTCTCTCAACAATGATAAAATATACAAAACCTGTATTAACATAAAAAAAAAAATGTTTTCTTGTCCACCAACACACGCTAAAATCGTCTTGTATGTCATCATCTATAAATACATACAAACACGACTAATTAAACGAGTTAAAAATCTCTAATCAATCAAACTCATCATCTGATATAAAAATAAACAGTAACATAAAAAGAAAGGGAAAGCAATGGGAGAGACTAATTTCTATGGACCTTATGAGCAATTGAGCCAGGGGTTTGCATACGGAGTGCCCGTGGCTGCACCACAGAACACAAACGTTGTGGTCGTGAGTGACGTATTCTGTTGTCCTTACCCGCTCGAGCTAACCGTCAAGAAGACATGTAAAGGATTGAGCGGCGCGAAGCTTGAGGTCGTGGACCTTAAGTCTAACGTTGTTCTACGTGTCGATGGTCCTCATAATAGCTTCAACAAGAAACGTGTTCTTCGTGATCCCGCGGGTTACCCTCTTCTCACCATGCGCGAGAAGGTAAATAATATTAACCAATATTTGACTTTTTGATGAAATAATGCTTAATAATCGACCATATCTATACGCCCCTAAAAGGGTAGACATATATATATACAACTAAACACAAAACCATGATATGTAGTCTATTAGATTGTGTTCGTGTGTCACACCATCCGCATAATGCATGTTTGGTATGTTGTTGACAAAATAAAAATAAAATAATAAACACCAACTGAAACACAAACCGAATCTAAAAGGTAACATTATTTTTCAATCAAATATACAAACTCAATTTGAACTTGGTGTAACAAAAAAACAATCGGATATATATTTAATTATACTAAGATTAATTGTTTAGTTATGTATTTTTTTTCTTTTTGTTTGACTCCAAACCAATTGAGTATGCAAGTCTCAAGACAAAGCTCAAAAATAATCCAAAAAGCAAATGTTTACCTACCCTTAACCGATTGTTTATGTGTATTTTTGTAACCAAAACTATAGTTGACGTCGTTGAATCACAAATGGACGGTTCATCGAGGAGAAGGCTCTGATCCAATGGAGCTAATGTTCACAGTGCAACGTTCTCATCCTATTCAGTGGAGAGCTCGCCTTGATGTCTTCTTTCAGTCTAATCATGTCGGAAACTTCAGTGTCGTAGGCACTTACTTAGACGACTCCGCAAAGGTTTACCTTGACGACGCTCTCATCGCCGAGGTATATATATCTAATACTACCTCCGTTTCACAATAAGTGTTGTTAAAAACTATATATTTGTTTAACAATACGTCGAATTCAAAAGCTTCTTACAATATTGCAAAATCAGAAAGCAAGACAAGATTAGAGGAGATAATTAGTTTATGTTACATAAGAATATTAGTTTTAATTGGATATTTTCAGGTGAAGGAAAAATCAGCATTTGGAGGATTTTTCAAAGGGAAACAAGACTTTGTGGTTAGAATAAATGCAGGCGTTGACTATGCTTTCATCGTCTCTCTCCTTGTCATTTTGAGCGAGACTAATTCCATCTTTTAGCTCATATATTCACAACATTGTTTGATTGTTATATATATGATTTGCATCTTTACATTTTCTAATTTCTTTTTGGTGATATGCTTGGAAACTGATTGTGTTTACATGTTTGTGATTTGCATAAGCTTGCTGCTTTGTTGATACCTTTTAGACGGTTTTGTATTTGTATAAAGAAACCAAAAGATTTATGTGTGTCATAGTCGCATACCACAACAGCTTAAGAAACATTACAATGGTTAAAACGCTAGTCTTCCTAATGCTATGCAAATGTTACATGACTATGATGATTTCAAGATACATAACACTCAGAAGTTACAACACAAAACAATATGATCATGTTCTTGTATACGAGCTAGATGTCTAAAGTCGCGACGTCAAATCATATGCTAAGAATCTCAGGAAGCTCAAACTTTGTAGGCCTTCTTTGAAAGTAAAGAGTGGTATGTATTGTTGGTTCACTCTCTTGGTCTGGCAAGCCATAGAGAGCTAAGAGCACGTAGTCGCAACGAATAATCGTGTATTGCAAGGAGGGCACGAGCTGATTGTCGGGTTGTTAATATTCTTAACATGTGTTGATATGTTTGTAGCCTCAAGTTATCAGCCTGCCACAAACAAATAACATGGCGCTATCAAGTTACTGTCGAAGTATTCATTGGATGGATGTAACACACTATTGTAAATGTACCTGGCGGATAAAGCTTTCGAGGCTACCTAACTTCCCCATCGCCGTTGCCATCTGACCCATGTAGGTTGCGACATTCCCTGATGAACTTGAACCAAGAGTCCCGCTCGATAAAGTATCAGAGAGTGATTGCTGTAGGCTGTCCATCCCTTGAGATAAAGCATCTTCTGCTTGTTGGGAAGACTGTTGCAAGTTATTTAAGTCTAGTAACTGTTGTTCTGTCAACGGCTCCAAACGATTCGCTATAAGCTGTAAGTAAAGATGAAAATTTGCTGGTTAAACAAAATCATCAGGGAGAGACCGGATAAACTGAAATTGATTTGATGTGTTTCGCCTTAATTATATTACCTTGAGAAGTTCTGATGAACGGAAACCACCGAGCCACAAGAAACACCTTTCAGCTGGTGTTTTCCACATCCCCGATAATAAATGGAAGACATCGTTCTTAGCTGCGTTGCTCTTTATCCTGTAAAACTCCTCATAGTGAGCAATCACTCCGTCTACAATTATCCGAAGCTCAGCATCACTCGCATGAGAATCTAAAGCAGAACTCAACTCCTTCATCTGTCTGTTTTTATCTTCCTGCCACCGTCTGTATTCTACATCAAATGCCATTGCTCCTGTAAAGAGAGAAGCATCAATAAGTTATATTACATGACACTGATCAACAGCATCAACCAAGCTAGTCCTTACTACTTGATAACCAATAAAACTACACTTTTTTCAACCAGATCATCATCGCTGTAACTCGTGATATTATAAGATGTATTGAATAGCCCATAAGCCACTATTTCATCAGCCAGCTCACCATTTCCAGCGGTAGAATGGGCTTGGTCTCCGGAGCTTGAGATAAATACACCCTAAGATTAAGCGAAACTGTTTATGTATGCAACATAGCAAATATTCACAGAAACAGAGCCGAACACAATTGAAACCTGTTGCCTAGCTCTTTGCAGCTCCTGCTCAAGTTGTGTTAGCTTCAGTCGGCTGTTCTCTAGCTGCTGAACATATGCCTGAAAGATGGACATCTTAAAGTTAGCAAATAGTTATGCTTGTAGGAAACATAAAAGAATTGAAACAAAATAACATAAATATTAGCATACTTTCTTCCTCAATCTGCTTTTCCTTGCAGCCTCACGGTTTTGAGCGAGCCTACGAAGCGTCTGCTGATTACAGTGAACAAGAAAACATAACTAAAAGGCTCAGTTAAAAAACAAACGCTTTCGATATAGATATATCGATATTACCTTCTGATCCAATTTATTCTTTGAACGGTCACTAGAATCAGAAGCACCGATCCCCAAATGCCCTTCATCGTACTGCAGAAATACTGTATCATTTCCAAAATTTCGGCCATTTATTGAGCATAAAGAAGCAACACCTAACAATTTTACAAGCTAACCATTACATTGTTATGATCTGTCTCGCCATCTGTTGAGCCTGATGTTCTTGGACTAGTATCTCCCATTATACGGTTTTCATCCAAATCTCTGTTACAAACACATCAGAGAAAAACCGATCCAATCGAGGTACCCTTTGAAGTAGGGACTTCTAGAATGCACCTTATGCACACGGAATTACACTAGATGGAGTAAAGACTGTCAAAGTAAGATACTAAACAGAAACCAAAAATTAGAGTTAAAGAGAAACAACAAATAAATTAACCTGATGGCATAGAGACTAAAAAAGTCATAACCAAAATGAAGTGGATAAACATCAACCACGGAATCACTTGAAAGTTTTGAATTAAAGATAGATTTTGTATAAGAATCCCATATCATTGGCTAATATACTTCTTATATGTAGCCTAGAAAAAATAGCAGGATAAATCGTCCGACGATTATATAAAGATCCAAATCACTGAGCTTAAAACTTAACATAGCGTGAAACAAAAAACCTTATGACCTGAAGAACTCTGAGTACTCAAAACACACAGAATCAAAGTAAACAATCAGCAGCAAACCTACACGATTTAAAGTGAGAACCAACATAAACATTAGACTGAAGTAGAACTAAAAGATTCATAATTTTATCGCAATAGCAGCTGGCCCCGGAAACAGACACACAAAATTCGAGCTTGTTATCATCTAATCCCAAGCAATTTCACTTCTACATTGTTAAAAAAAAAGGATGATTTTGATTCCTGATCAGGTAAGAGAAACTACATAAAGCAGATATAAAAAAAGATCCCTTTAAGGTCAAACTCAGTCTAATCTTCCATGTCAAAACCAATCATGAAAGCAGAAAACTACAGAGAACCAAAACCCTAAGACTATCGAAGAAGAAACTCACCTGAAGAAGAAGAATGGGTTCTTTAGCTTAACCCCAAAAAAGGGGTTTGCTCGGGAAAAGGGATTGAAACAAGTTAGCAGAGATACGATCCAACAACTCCAATCTCTAAAGGCGTCGTCTTTTCTAAAACCCACCACAAATCAAGAACAAGTTCACGAC